AAAGTATCTCCTCTGCCCCATAATGCCACAGTTGCACCCCTTACTCATACCTGTACTTCAAAATAAACCTTACACAAATAGTGCTCTTTAAACCAAACACTGTTTTAAAATGGTAATGTTTTAGACAAACCTTTATCAATGTTACCATAACATCTTATTCATGACACATTTGTAACCAACTGTAAATGACTGTATGAACTTTTGTCTATGCATTTATAACAGAGATGTATAAACAAACATCTCGAGCCATCTTTTAGACAGTGACGGGGAATTAGTTTTAACGGTAACACTTGACAATAAAGGTATAAATCATATATAATGTTTAACTAATTCATTACTCATGATCATTTAATGCATGTGTTAGGTTATTTTTTAGTTAGATAGATATTCAGAGATTTGTTGTCTAGGAATGTTTAATGCAGACAGGGTGACTAGCTTAGGCTGTTAAATGCAAGGATAGTTAAGGCAGAGAAGGGCTCAAGTCAGGGACAAATGTTATTATGACGGTAAAAGTAACCATAATATTTGTCTTAATGTGTAATGTTATGTCAAATTGTTTTAGATACACACCACGAAAACAACAGCCACACACATTATTTTCTTCATTTTTATATACTCAGGTGGTCTGAGTCGTCCCTCTGAGTTCCTGGTTTGAAAGAACCGGATGAGGCTTTATAATGGAATGTAGCCTAACACATGAGTTAGTGCTAGATGCATCATGAGTTCCTGTTATTCACCATTCACAAATGACCAAGTCTCTGGCTTTCTGTGAAGTATGAAGTAGTACAAAATAAAAATACAGTACTCAAGTAAAGTAGAGATACTGTACCTCAAAGCTGTACTTACACATAGTACTGGAGTAAATGTAGGCTAGTTACTTTCCACCACCACATATAAGTCAAGACGACACAGAGTTGCAGTAGGTTTTAATTTTATTTTTAGTCAACTCTAAGCTCCTCGTTAGTATAGTGGTGAGTATCCCCGCCTGTCACGCGGGAGACCGGGGTTCGATTCCCCGACGGGGAGTTAGCTGTTTTCAGAAATTTAAGACATGACAACAACTTATGGGCTAAATTGACCTATAGCCGCTTTAAAGTCAGTTGTACATGAAGGGGTTGCATTCAGTGATGACACTCTGTAGTTTTGTCTGACAGTAGCACCATCTCGAACGTGCACTTCTGTATATCCACAACTACTTCACACCCCTCTGGAGGATCGGGAAGGCCCCTGAAAAACACACACACACGCACACACACACAATTATTTTAAATTTCATTTGCAAGAAATCAGTTGAACTTTATTTTAGCAATCACAATCAACCAATCATTACTGAAAAGTAAATAAGTACATTTACTCTAGTACTTCATACTACTACTTCAACATCACTACATTTTAGTGGCAAATATTGTACTTTTTACTCCACTACATTTTTTGATAACTTTATTTACTAGTTACTTTTCAGAATGAAATTAACTATAAAAAAAATACAATGTAATCATCTAACTTTATCAATCCCTGGTGGGAAATTCACAAGCTACCCAGCATTATTTCGAATTACAAGGTAGTTAAAATGAGCTCCACCTTAGTTGCAACATTAAATTGATGAACACAACAATTAAAATCCAATAATATGAGATACATTGATGTGAAATGTGCTATTCAGCATTATGAGTACTTTTATTTTTAGTACGTTAAGTACATTTTGGTGCCAATACTGGATGTGGGACTTTTTTAGGCTTTGGTACTCTGGTAAACAATCTGAGTAATTATTCCATCGCTGCTACCAATATACTGTATTATGAGACCAATGTGTCAGTCTAATGAAACATGGAAAAAACAAGGTGTAATGATAATAAATAAGAGCACCAAATATCTTACTCGATACAGCAGCGCTTGATGCCTGGCAAGCAAGTGCATTCAACGCAGCCTTCCACCCATTTAGAGCCCAAATCATGGGCCATTCCTTGATCGTCCTTACACCCTACATATAAAGAAATAAAACCACAATTCAGAGAACCTGCTGACACATTTATAATGCTCTGATAAATCAGTGGCAGTGACAAATTGTGTCTGTGTATCAGTAAGTTCTGTGTATTAAATAAACATACAATGGTGTAAACACACAACAGCTGGATGATGCATTTGAGTAGAACACTGAGAAAGCTGAAGGACTTAATTTTAATGTGTCCAGCTTTGCAAAGAGGAAAGTCTCTACTTCACCATATCTGTTGCTTCCAACATGTCAACTCACCTTTGGTAGGGCTATTCACATCCATCCCTTGATCATAGCATGCAGAATGACACAAGACAACCAGTCCCAGCAGAAAAACAATCACATGGAGAGAAGCCGAGAACAGCCAAAAAAAAAAAAGACAGTAGTTTTACCATTTTCGCTTTTTGTAAATTTAGGTGATTTGTCATCATTACAGCTGATCTGGGTTTTATACAAAAATACTCTTTTATATATAATTTTTAGTGTAACAGTTATGTATGTTAAGACAGACAGGTCTAACTAGTCTTTTTGAACACGTCAAATTATTTGTTTACATTTATGTACTAATATTAATCATTATGTTGAAGGACTCATCCGTGACACTGTTGACTAAGGTACTGCTTCTATGTTTTGGGTCATATTTGCTGCTTTACCTTTTTCAAAAACTCAATTAAAGGCTCAGTCTTAATTTTCAAAAGCGCACCACTTTTGGTATCTCAGCCACAACTACTACTTTATAAATAATATTAATATTGATATAATAAATGCTACAGTTGTAAAATTTAATCCTGTAGCAAACTGAAGGTAATTGTAAAGTTAAACTAAGCCCTCCAATTTTGGCCAGGAAATACAAAACACACCGACAGCAACAATATTTTTACAGTCTAATATATCTATCATATGTAAATTTATATATATATATTTTATATATATATAAAACAAGTTCAAGCATAATTGAAGACCAAGCCTACACAAAAAAAGTTTTCATTCCCAAACTCTACATGTTAACCACATTCTTAGCTTCTCTAACTGTGAGGTGTGAAAAACATACCATCCTTAGATGTAGAGCCTGTTAGCTGAAAGCCAATGTGTGTCTCTCTAATGCTCACTTTATATAAAAGTCTGCACCCCTGCACATCTTTATTCAATTTATTATTGAAATTAGTATTATCAAATATTTATTTCAGGTGGGGAAGAGCAGGACGCTTTATAGGTCATGTTGACATTTGGTGTGTTGAAGGGGATTAATAAAGTTGTATCTATCAATCTCTCTCTCTCTCTCTCTCTCTCTCTATCTCTCTGTATCTCTCTCTGCTGACTCATAAGATTTTGACGTGTGAATGATAATTGAATCCTGTTGTTTTTACTGACCCAAAAGAAAGCTGGATATGTAATAATATTCATAATCCATTTTATTCAACAAGTACAAATTGAAACATATCATTGAAAAGGCAGTCAAGGCAACAGTCAGTCTAAAATATAAAACAGTCTTCCTTATCTGTAAACTTTTACTGTTAAGTAAAAAGGCTGAGACAGATGATGTGCATTGAGAATAAAGCCACAAATTGTAAACAGTTATTAAAATATATAGTTTGGATCAACCCTGCCATAGCAAACAAAATGTACTTCTGAATGTTTATCCAACTGTTTGTCAACAGCTGCAATAATAAAAAGTCAGACTTTGTACTGTGCAACCAAGAAAAACCTCAATAAAATCCAGTCCCAAACATTTTTATACTTATCACATAATTAACAATCTGTAAAATATAAAGATAAATTGATAACCAAAGTGCAGTATCACATCAGGATAAAGAAGGTAAGAACAAAGTTCAGATATTTGGTTCAGTTTAACTGTGAATATAGGAGGTTATACTGTCCCAGCAGTGGCTGTATTAAATACATAGTTTTCTGAATGACTGCAACAGAGCTCTTTCAGTAGAGAAAAGAAAGTATTTTCCTGTTGCACATCACAAGAAACAAGCGCTCCTTTGGTCGTAGTTACCAAACAGGTGTCAAATGTGTCAAATATCTTTGCAGCAAAACAACGTGGCATGACAACTACAGTATCAACCTGCATTACAACTGTGAGGCCTGATCAGTTTGCTCCTGTAAACACAGTGAGAATAACAACCCAAAATACTAATGAACCTTAAACATCCCCCAAAGCAGAACATGAATAATAATTATATAAAAGGACAAACAAAAGAAAATGTCCCTACCTGCAGCTCCTAGGCCCTGTGATAAACCACATTTATTTGTTTTACCTGGCAGCAGATTAAAGGAACTGTTTTATATTTGGATTTGCTAGATGCTGCTATCACGTATGTGCATAAACACTGGAATCAGAGAAATAGTCAGTCTGCATTTGTTCAATAAGAAAATAAATGACATTAAATAACAAAACCAAAACAAAAAAGTCCTACAGGTTATGGACATATGTCAAGATCACTAGTTAAGATATTACATGTAACTTGTTTAGTAGTGTAAAACTGATAAGTTGTGGTTTTAAGACTATTTTTGGGTGGGAGTGGTGACTTTGTGGAGTATTGTCACAACAAAAATTGGTATTTTTTAAATGCTTTAGCTTTTGTACAGAATAAACTAGACATAATTGGTTAGTGAGCTTTCATAGGTGCTAATATGTGAATTGTGTTACCTCTTAACAAAGCTGTGCTCAAGGCTTTGTCCCAAGCTAAGTTTTAGAATCCCATTTAATGGACAGACATGAAAGTAGTATTTTCTTACTCTAGGCAAATACACCAATACACTCATTTCTGAAAATGGAATGCATCATTGGCAGGGGAAGAGACATACAAACAATACACCTACACACTAAGGTATAGGCTGACAATACAGCATAAATTTCACAACTAATTACCAAACAAAGACACCAGTTTTTCCTGGATAAACATCATTACTGTGTGTAAAAATAAAGATCGTATTAGATGTGAATCCACGGAGATGAGAGTTGGAGAAGGAGCATAACATAACAACCAAAAATTGGTATTTTTTAAATGCTTTAGCTTTTGTACAGAATAAACTAGACATAATTGGTTAGTGAGCTTTCATAGGTGCTAATATGTGAATTTTGTTACCTCTTAACAAAGCTGTGCTCAAGGCTTTGTCCCAAGCTAAGTTTTAGAATCCCATTTAATGGACAGACATGAAAGTGGTATTTTCTTACTCTAGGCAAATACACCAATACACTCATTTCTGAAAATGTCAAACTATTCCCTTAAACATAAGAATACTTAACAAAAGTGCACATAGCAGCTGCTGATCTTTGAACGCATCCTCTAACCAATCAGAGTTTTCATGAAGGCAGGTTTGTTGAAGGGCCAGTGATACTGGTTGGGGACAGGTCCATTCACATTGCACTCAAAAAAAGAAAACATGGGGAACCAAATGCGCGCCCTACGGCTCTGCTGGTAGGCACGGGTGTTGGCTAGGGTGTGGTAGTAAAGGAAGAGGCGGGTGGTGATGTAGAAGGCGATGAACACGTCGATGGAGTAGTGCTCATGAGCCGCCAGGATGAAGAAAATCCCAAAAAGGTTTAACACCCAGGAGATAGTGTGAATCAGATTCCAGCTTTGTGGAGTGTCTGCAATTGAAGGAATCAGTTCAGGATATATATTGTCAGATGATCCAATGAAAAGACCAAAGCCAACAATGAACTGATCCCACTGATAAGTATTGTGTGTGTAGGCAAAACCTGATACAGTTTGCCTTAGTCCTCTGGGCCCTGTTACTCTCTTAACTCTTAACAACACGTCAGTGACACAGATTGTTGCACTGGGTGACAAGGTTCCCTCATTATGATGAATGTGGTCACTGTAGTTTACTAGTGGTAGTTTATGTAGATTATTAAGGAGTTGATCCTACATACTGTGCTGTCTTACTGTTATAAATACTGATCTGCACACTAAATGTGTTTGATCTGCAGCTGAAAACAGTCCCAAATAAATGAGCTGTTTACTCCTGTTTGAGTTACACTTGCTAAAAGTGACAGGACCCAGCTGATTTAGGAAACAGCCAAGTCTGTTTTAAAACTCAAACTAAATATCTGTTGCCAATATTTACAGATTTATATCTACAATAGGAAGCAATGGGGCCACAAAGAGGGGTGTGAAGTCAGAGTATTGAAAGACAGATTTACACATTGATTTAAATTTTATTATGAGATTCATTAACAATCATAATGTCTTTATTCTGTGTCTTTAGGGATCGCTAACCATTTTGTATTTAGTGGACAATAAAGGTTTGTGAAGCGGATTTTTATGCCTCTCTGGGATCTTATCTGTGGTTTTCTATGGGCTTTATTACTTAACAAATGTCACATGTGCTCTAGAGTCATACATTCTGACAGCAAACCAAAGCATTAACACTTACATTCAGTCACAAAAAAGTTGAGCATTGTGATGACGACAGTGTGCCCACTGAACATGTAGTCTCCACATGTTTGGACACCCGTCAGAGTCATCCCAAAGCCACTCCAGATCGTTAGTGCTCTCTCTATCTTTCCCAATGTATCACCATATGTCTGGGGAGCAAAAAACTCAAAATGACTTTCAGTCATGTTGTGGATTACAATGTCAGCTGTTCACCAGTTATTACAGCAGTAATGCTGAGTCATGAATAAACTGTAACACCACCAGCAGCAGTGAGAATTATTGACTAATCCAGACCTGAATAACCTCAATCTGCACAGAATCCCCTACAGTATATGCTTCCCACCTTACTGTCACACTTCAGGTGCTGCCCAGGCACAGAGAGCGAGGTGACAAACATGGTGCAGCAACGAAGCAAAAACACAGTTCCCATCAAAGAACACATCCGCCTGAAGAGAATGGACCTGAAACAAAGGGTTTGAATTTGTGAAATACATGAAAAATATATTCAAAATATTCACAACTTATTACAAGTATATCATTAAATCAACAAGAAATATGTGCGTGGAATCATGTTGTCGATTTGCACAGAGTGTATCAGTGACAGGACAGTGTGGACTCAGCTACCTGTGTTTGTGAAGGAGCAGGATCAACAGAAACATGTAACACAGGATGAGGCCACAGGCTTCAGCCATTGCAAAAGCCCAGGGGATTCTTGGAACACTGTCAGAGCACAGAAACACCTTTATCACTGTATTGACATGATATAAATGCAGGAAAATGTGCAGTGGGTAGTTGCTCAACATGCACTGAAATTTTCAAGTACTATAGGTATTTACTGGTGATTAGTGGTGCAAAACACACAAGATACATATTCTATACCTGTCCAGGAATATATCAGGCAGTGGTGGGTATGTCCTCATGTCCGGGACACGCTCATGCACGATGACCATGACAAAAGATGTGAATCCAAACACTAAAAAGACATATATAGAACTGATGACCGTCTTCCATACCTCTGGGTCCAATCTACCAGCCAGGTGCTGCTTATAACGTCTGTTGGAGTGTGTAAGACACAGTTCTGCTCCTGAACTGTATCCAGATCTATCACCATTCCTCAACCGTAACTCTGTCCTGTTACACAGGCGATCACCACTGTTATACCTTCTGTCAGCTCCATTGCAACTCCACTTAGGCCCTGTGGTGCCCAGTGAAAGCCCTGCAGGGAAGCTGTCTGAGGCCCAGAGACCCAGCTGCTCCAGCTGGGCCTGGTTCTGTCTCTGGAGCCGGCAGAGAGCTAAGGTCAGCCTCTTGATGTCTCCCAGCACAGTGAGGCTCAGCGGAGGACCTCGCAGGTCTGCCTCAGTCAGAACCAGCAGGCTAGGGCCGTCCAGGCGGTGCCGGGTGCAGAACAATTCGACATACTCCCCGAAACCCTCTTTCTGCAGCCATTCAGCAACCTGTTTACAGCTCCACGCACTCACAGTGTCCACTGACGGTGCCATGCCACTGCAGGTACAGACATATACAGTGTTAAAAAAAAGAAAATAAAAAAGGTCAAGTGCACAACTTAGGTTTTATAATGACAAAGAGATAGCAACAAAGCCTGCTCAGTGCCTACTGAAACTATTCCCTAACTTCTGATGATTGAGTACCACTTTCTCCACTGTGTTTTCACCTCGTTATTTCCTTATTGTATTTGACACTGTCACTTCTATCTAAGCAGTCATTTTAGTTCTACTTTTAGTTTAATTTTTGAGCAAAAATTCTAAACGATGGTTCCAGTCTTTCAATGTGAACATTTTCTGCTTTTCTCTTTTATGTCATGGCAAACTAAAAATCTTTAGGCTTGGGCTCTGGAAAAATGTAGCAATCATTTTTCCACAGTTTCTTTTACATTCATTCATTTATTTATTTATGCATTGTCATTTTATAGAGCAGATGCTTAACTGATAATAAAAACTATTGTTGGTTATAGTCCTAGATAATATACAACAGCGAAAAGTAGAAAATTCTCAGGAGTGGGAGCCAGAAATATTTGTGTTTAGGCTTAACAAATTATTAAAACCTAGCCTACAGTAAGCTGAGTGTAATCATCCTCTCTGCTTCAGCATCTCATCATAATAAAAACTAATAAAAACTTAGTCACTCACCCTCAAGGATTCACCTGAAACTGTCAGAGTGAACAAGTTCCTTTCCCACAGACAGACTCAAGTAGTAGCGCCACATTTTCTCCTATTAGTAGCCTTTGACCTTGTGATAAGCTCACCAGAGCGCTGCTCACCCTGTACTGCTCCAAAGGTCTGCACGGTTCTGAATGAGAGCAATAGCCTGCATGCTGACAGGACATTAGATACAGGTTTAAAATTAACCAACTAATCAGTTTTTAGTTATCAGCTACAGCTGTAGCTGCTTTGTATGATAAACCTCACAGTACAGTAAAGAATTACCGACTAGACTCACCTTAGACCAGATAGCAGTGGCATTTTTAATACAACAAAATCAATCAATAAATAAGGAATCGGCAGATTAATCAGTGATGAATGAAAATAATTGTTAGCTGCAGCCCTGATCCTCATGTAAGAAAAGCTGGAACCATCAAATGTTTGGTACTTTTGCTTGAAAAATGACTTCTGTTAATCTATTAATTTAATCTCTACTCAAAATATTGTCAGTATTGTAATACAAGACCAAAAATGTATTCTCAAACTTTATATCATCACACAGCTTTTATATTATATATTGGTCTTAAAGGCAGAAGTAGAGTTGTTTTTAACTGTGAGCCCTCACTTTTTTTTTTTAAATACACAATGAAAGTTGATACTCAACATCAAATAAAGTTTGTTGTATCACATCAACAATGCAGATTACATGGTGGCTCTTAAACTATCAAACTCAGCCAAGAAGCTGATCAAAAACAAATATATACATGTTTGAAGAGTGAAGTCACTCACTTCTGCTGCACAGTTCCTTCACACAGTAATCAGTTATCTTTAACTAGCCTGTGAATTTCCTGGCTGAATCTGCCCTGAGGTATCACATGGGATTCATAAGAGCCACGTCAGGTTGTCTGGCAGCATGTCACAGTCAGCAGTGACACACCCGTGAGACCAAAAGCCCTTCAGTGTGTCTGCGAGGCAGTCTGACCTCATAGTGTGTGAGGTGGCCACAGAGCCATTGTGTAACATCAGACTGTTAAATATCATCATGAGACCAGTTCTGACAGTTTAAATAATACTTTATGTTGATGTGGGAAATTTTTAAATATTATTTTCTTAAGATAAACAGAAGATATATTGTGGCACTTGTTCAGTGGAGCACAAACAAGTAACAGAAAGCATCTGTAGCTGTTTCTAATCTACTATAAAAGATTATATTAAACAATAGTAATCTCTCTTACCAAAAATCCACTGTCACTGTGCTGTCAGACAGGACAGATGGACTATCTGCTAGGGTCTCAGATCACAGAAGTTCTTCATGGCCAACATGCTCCTGACAACTAGACAACACCAAACAGGAAGAGGCAATAATAAACAACACCAGTAAAGATGAGCGGCTGGGCTCATGCAGGGCTGCTCCTCAAAGCACACTGACATCTGCTGGCCACACTTAGAAAACTAGGATCTGTTTACAGGTTTCTCAAGATCCAAAAACAGAGAAGTGGATTGAGTGGACAATTTAATTTGAAATTGTGGTTTTCAAAACCCACAGTCTAATTGTAATTATATCTTTATGTGTGAGAGTTTCCCTGTGAGCCTGTGCCAGACTGCACCACCTGTTTCTGACAGTCACAGGCTGAGTGAAGAGGAACTGCTGCCGAAACGGAATCAAAGCAAAGGCAACAGACAGCAGTGGGATTTACTTTTAGGGAGCTAACAGAATAGTTCACACCCTTTAAATGTAGAAATGACTGACAGAAAGTCGTTCAGAGGAACTGTCTCTGAGGTGGGATGTGATGCACGGAGCTCAGACCCAGAAGAGGAGGAAAAGTGTAGGAGTGTGACAAAGGATTCAGAGAGGGTGTGGGAGATCCCGTCTCTCCAGGAGCTAGAGGAGATTTTACTTTCAGCTCCAACCTCCTTTAGCCATGGAGATGAGGTGTGGCCGAACCTGTACCTGGGAGACCTGTGAGTATCCTGTGCTGTAGTTCAGTTCATGTATATGTGTCTCGACTCTTTTAATACATAAAATTTTTTGCCAGGGTTATGGCTCATGACAAGCTCGGGCTCTGGAAGCTGGGCGTCACTCATGTACTGAATGCAGCACATGGTAAACTGTGCTCTAAGGGCAGTGAGGATTTCTACGGAACTACAGTGAAATACTACGGAGTCCCAGCCAGTGACCAGCCAACCTTTGACCTTTCATCATTTTTCTACCCTGCTGCTGAGTTCATCCACCAGGCTTTGACATCAGGAGGTAATGCAAGCTGCTGCAGGTTTTCACTTACTCTAAATGATGATATACTGTGAGTAAGGTTACCTGTCCTTCCTGTTGCTTTGTGTCTGTTGCTTCCAGGAAAGGTGCTTGTACATTGTGCTGTGGGTGTCAGTCGCTCGGCTGCATTAATCCTAGCCTACCTGATGATTCATCACCACCTCAGTCTTCTGAACTCTATATGCTGTGTGCAACAGAAACGCTGGATTTGCCCCAACACGGGCTTTCTGAGACAGCTTATAGTTCTGGACCGAAAACTGCAGGACACAGGGGTGAAAGGGTCAAAATAAAACAAAGTATGGAACAATCCTACAAAATAAATCCATAGAAATGTCTTGTTTTTGTTGACAGAATGCTCTCATTAAAACATGCAAGACGTTCTTCTCCATTTGTACCATTTACTGTATTCAAGCACTAAACACTGTGTGCCCTCAGAACCCGCCCCCCAACCCCCCGGGACTTTTGGCATCAGTAAACAGGCCAATCAATGCAGCAGCAAAGCTGAATAGCTCTAGATCAAGTCGGAGAGAACACACTGAACACATAGCGCTAATTTTGGAACCATGCAGCATTCAAACAGCCACCTGCTCGTGTCTCTTACCGAGCCGCATACTCTGGTGGTGAAGGGACAGTGGGCACAGACAGCAGGATCTGTGTTGGAGTCTGTCAGAGGAGCATTCTGTGTCCGGGGAGGATGGCAGGGAGCAGCCAGCTACAGGACCTGGTGCTCATTAAAGAACTGGAGCTCATCTTGGATTCCTGCACACTGGAGCTCACACCAGTGGACGAAGTCTTGCCCAACTTGTACATAGGAAATGTGTGAGTGTCTCCAGTTTGTAAAGTCTGTTGCAGGGAAAAATGACAGCTCTGCAAGAGAGAAAGTGATACATTTTAAGTCTCTTAAAGTACAAGACATACAAATGCATCTTGATAATTCATAATACAGTTTCAATTATATCCTCTTTACTCCCCTTGCTTGTCTTGTTTTATGTTTTCCAGGGCTGTAGCACAGAATAAAAAGACATTAAATAAGCTTGGCATCACTCATGTCCTGAATGCAGCGCACTCCAAGCAGGGCAGCATCGGTGACCAGGGTTATTACGGAAACACCTGTGTTTACTTTGGTATCCCAGCAGAGGATTCAGACCACTTTGATCTCAGTCAGTACTTCAAACCTGCCGCTGACTTCATACATAAAGCCCTGAAGAGCAAAGATGGTAAAGTATACGACTGCATATACATTTGAATCGTGCATACACCTCCCACAAAAAACCTTTATGTATCAGATGCATAGGCCTATAAATAATATTAGTAAAAAAGATATCGAAACCCACACACTGATCACATACTTCCACAAAAGTACTATGTGGGAACAGTTGTGGTTTGACCTTTCTCATGCTCCATCCTGTTCCACAGGAAAGGTGCTGGTGCACTGCATCATGGGCATGAGTCGATCAGCCACCTCTGAGGCCCGTCATCAAAAAACGAGCCATTTATCCCAACCGGCACTTCCTGTCCCTCCTCCTCAAGCTCGATGAGCAGCTAACACTCAAACGGAGGCTGTGTCCTCTTCTCTGACATCTGTCTCTTTGCTCTTTCTTCTCTTTCAATACATAAGTCCTTAGTCACCCTCCCTCTGTTTTCAGGTGTTACACTCCACTCTAGTCAGTACAGAAAACATTTGTAAATAATAATTTGATATCAAATTGTTAGAGGTGTGAGTTCAATGTTGGAGTGACCATATTTTTATGATAAAATATTAAATTTTTCTTGCACAAGTTTAACTTCTGGGTATAGCAGTGATGTGCCTGTGTTGTTAACATTTGTAAATCATCAGTATTTTATTGTTTTGGGGATTGATTGTTATATTCAAACATTACCTGTCTGTTTCTGGTTATGCCCTTTGTAAATACAGTTTTATGAACTTTTGATTTCAATCCTCTGTTGGGATGCTAAAGTTAATGTAATATAATTTGAATAAAGAAATTTTACGATTATTTTGTTGGCATATTTTTGCATAACATTACTTTGAACAGTTTGCCTGATAAGGTACATTGTCCAAATGACATTTTTACAAAAACAAAAGTCTTTGATAAGGTGAATAATTTCACTTGATTTGATTAGTAACCTCACCTGAGTACCCAAGATCTTTTTTATTTTTCATATTTAAAAAAAATGCAATGACCATAACCTTCATTTTTATTTATGGGAAATAATTCAGAAGTACATTTTATTATCCACACAACAAATGCAGCTAAAGTTATTACATCATTGTTGAGTGGTGTTCATACAGGGGCCCTGTACTTCTTAAAGCAACAGAGCAGCATCTTGGTGGCCAGACAGAGTCACTTACAATACGGTGGTGTATTATAAAACAGTCTATGGTCGTCTTGGAAACTCAGCAAGTAAAGTTCACAGGACAATGCCTCATTGTTGTCTAGGAGACTTTAGTGTAGTAAACTGGAATAAATATGTTTCAGGGTGACTGGACTGTTGATAAATAGAGTCTGGTCACTAATAAGTGTATGATTACAGAGTTATAAAAGGAAACAGGCCACAGTCAGAATTCAGAGTGAGCACAGCAGGAGAATAGTTTGCACTGACCTGAAGTGAGGTAAGTTCATATAATTCAGAGTGAAAATGGGTTTGTTTGGGCATCGATCGGGTTTGTCTGTTCAGTCAGTGTGGCTTTACTACTGTAGAGCCACTTTTCTGCTCGTTAAATTCAGCGCATGAGCCTTTGCTTTGGCATACCAGTCAGAGTATCAGGACCAGGCAGGAGGGCAGTTTAACTGTTTATTTCTCTTTACAGGGTATTCACTTCACTGTCCTTGTCAACCATTAGAGATTATTTGTAGCTATAAGGCAAATAATAGTCGATAAAAAAATCCTACCCAAAAACATTTTTACATCCATCTACACTGTTTTTTTTCTGAATAGGGTCACAGGGGGGCTGGAGCCAAACCCAGCTGACATTGAGGCAGGGTACACCCTGGACAGGTTGCCATCATTGTTACATTCCACTAAATCAAAATTCAAAATGAGATTGAAAAACACCCGTATAATAGCAGTCAGACAATACTGATGCAACTGAACCTGTTCAGAAAACTTTAAATTGCAACTTTGCTAAATTTGATACAGTTTAAATGGAACACAATAACATTTTAACATTTACAGAACATATTTCACTGAATTCTTATTGTTTATGTGTGCGTCAGTATGTCTCTCAGGGATCCACCATATGAACCTCCTTCGGTCTCAGACCTGCAGTCGTTCCTGCTGGCCGACAGACGGCCTACTGGACATGTCAACCAAGTCTGGCCAAACCTTTACATAGGCAACGAGTAGGCTCACACACAATAACATGTACTGTACACACGTTTCTATATAAACATCCTTCACTTACAGGGTGGCGAATTGTGTTTCAGGGTGGCGGCTCGTGACAAGGGCATGCTCTACAGTCTGGGCATTACTCACATTGTAAATGCTGCTCATGGACCCCGAAATCCCAGCCCTGGATACTGTTACTACGTCAACACCGGCCCACGTTTCTACAGAGACATGACAGTGGATTATTATGGGGTGGAGGCTGATGATGCAATAGACTTCATGCTGAGCCCTTTCTTCTACCCAACAGCACGATACATCAGAGCTGCACTGGCCATGGGAGGCAAGTTGTCTTACTGTGTGTGACTGGATGGTGGTGTAGTGAGCAAACTATAAACTTGCTTGGTGAATATCTGGTGCTAAAGCTAACAGCAAATGTCCCCCGTCCCAGGACGAGTCTTTGTGCACTGTCTGATGGGTGTGAGCCGCTCTGCAACCTTAGTGCTGGCCTTCCTGATGATTGTCGAGGGCCTGAGGCTGCAGGAGGCAGCTGCTACCGTCAGGACACATAGAGACATCTGCCCCAACTCAGGCTTCCTGCAGCAGCTCCGCAGCCTTGACATGAGACTGGAGAGAGAGAGAAGGAGAAGACAACAGGCCCAAACACTGTAAAGACACACATAGACAGACACAAAGCCATAAACATCAACAAATGCTCACAAATACAGACATGTTTATTGGTACAGAGGTCATTTAACCGAGGAGGAAAAAACACCATCTCTGACAGAGCTGAGGCAAATTCTCTGGATGAACAGGAAGCCAGTGGCACCTTTCAATCAAGTCTGGCCAAACCTGTACATTGGAGATGAGTGAGTAGAGAAGCCACACTCTGCACCTTGAAAAAAAGCAAAAAAGATGTTACAATACAAGTTTGTATGCAACGTGTTTCTGCAGGTCTGTGGCACGAGATAAAAGCACCCTCTCATCTCTGGGTGTAACTCATATACTGAATGCCGCAGCGGGTCGACACCGCATCAACACAGGTCAGGAGTTCTATAGTGACCTTGAAGTGGAATACCATGGCATTGAAGCTGCAGACCACCCTGAGTTTAACCTTCGACCTTTCTTCACCTGTGCTGCACAGTTCATAAACAGTGCTCTAAAGAAAAATGGTCAGTGCACAAATATACCAGCAGATGCCAATTCATAATGCAAACAACATAAATGCACTTGTTGAAGGGACAAAAACTGTGTACATCGAAAACACAGAGAAATGAAAGAACTGCAAATTTAACATGGATATTACAAGCTAACTTATTTAAACAAGTTATGGAATTACAAAGAAGCCTGTACACAGTGGTTATTGTTAAACATCTTAATGATTTCTTATTCTCTTTATGTTGAATGTTATGGGTTTAGCAGTCCACCTGCAAAGACCATTGATAATAAAGATAGTGATTTCAATATTTGGTAATTGATGAATAATCAAGCTTTTTCCTGTAATGTAATGTTTTCACCATATATTCAACATATTTTCTGTCAACTTTGGTTTGTTAGTCCTCTCATATTTTTACTAAACATTTTAATATAAGCACTTTCCCCCTACTCCAATTAGCTCTAATTAAATAAAATGAACACTATTATGTCATGATATATATGGGAACCCTTTTAAATTTTATTTTCATCTATCAGTTCACCATAAACACTTACATGGGTGCACAAAAACACATCCATAACACAATGTTTGGTTGAACCCAATGATCTGGTTGTAGACATACCTTGAGCACTAGTGGAGATTTATTTTGAAAAACTGCAGCCAATTCATTTTTGCCATTTTTGGAGAAGAAATTGTCAAAGATGCCCACATGGTTGGTTGCTATACCTTTAAATTTGTATTAAAAATGTTCTAGACACTTTTTGACCACTGTTTATGGTCTATTGATAGATAAAATATAAATGTTGGTACTAGGAGGTCTGTTCAGGCTTATATTGAACATACAGTATCCATCAATAAATTATTTTTAAAGTGTTGCTAAATATATTAATTAATATATTTTCCAGGCAGGGTGTTTGTTCACTGTGCCATGGGCGTCAGTCGCTCTGGAGCACTGGTTTTGGCGTATCTGATGATCAGCCAGGGCCTGTCTTTAGTAGATGCCATCATCGCTGTGCGTCTGAACCGAGACATTGGACCCAACTCTGGATTTCTGGAGCAGCTCAGACAGCTGGAGCTGAGCCTTAGTCCACAGCGCAGACAGATCTCAGAGGAGGAACACACTGACACATCCTCATAATGGACACAGAAACATGCCATTCCCCATTGTCAGGCACCTGTTTTATTTAAATCCACATTTCCTCTCATAATAATTTAAACTGACAAATGTGTGTTGTCTGTGCATCATCTATTACAAGAAAAGCTCAAAGTCTCAGTCTCATAGTTTATCTCTGCCCCAGCAACAATTAATAAAATAACAGAATATTTTTATGTATCCAGAAATAACCATGTGCTGACAAATGCTAATCCCACTCCCATCCACACATTATTGACATTCCCTTGATGACAATGATTCATTATGTCACTCTTACTAATTTCTTTTTTGTTTTCTGGTATTGTGTCTCATGATTGAGCGTGTTTCTTTAACATACATGCAAAAGAAAAGCAAAACACTGTCACATTAAAGGACAAAGATCAAGTTAGGAAGGCTGCGATAAAGCAACAGTGTGTGTGTTTGCACATGACATTGTTGAAGTTGGGTACCTAAAAATATCACGTTAAATACAGAGCGTGAGAGAGCAGCTACCATTCCAGATCTGTATTTCAGTCTTCATGCTTACTGTGGAGGGAGGTCTCTGTTTACACACATAAACACACACATAGGCACACGCTGAGGAAAAGCTGAGGTGCTGGTCTGCGATCCTGCTCAGGATCAGATTTAAGATTTTAAGCAGTTGCAAGAAACAGGTAAGCATTTTTTAGAACTTTACTAGCATTTAAAAATGACTCACGTGAGGAACTGATTACGGAACAGTTTACTTATAGTACACAGCAGAAATAGTGCAGATCATTTTCCAGTTGACTGACTAATGGATTATTGGAGTAATTACAGCTCTAAGACTGTGTGCAGTGAGTGTTAAAAGCTTGAAGCAGATAACACTGTAAAGACGCTATTTCCGTTTTTGATCAAATTCAGGGATGTGTGTGTTTCTGTGCAACAGAGGTGAGACATGTCCTTCTGTGTGGTGAAGTCCAGAAGTAAAAACCCATACACGGCAGTGCAGGTAGACCCAGAGAGTGATTACATCACAACGGGAACATTAGACCTTGAGCAGCTGTTCTGGACCGGCACCGGGGCTCAGTATGATCATGTGAACCAGGTCTGGCCTGGTATCTACATTGGAGATGAGTGAGTAAATGCACACAGAGGCGGTTTCATAGTTTTGCAATACTCATGCTGACAGCTTCATATTGAGTCTGTGTGTGAAAACAGGAAAACAGCTCTAGAACGGTCTGGCCTGAGGGATCTGGGTATTACACATGTCCTGAATGCAGCAGAGGGGAAGTGGAATAATGTGTTGACTGGTGCCAATTACTACAGAGACATGGACATCCAGTACTATGGTGTAGAAGCTGATGACAAACCCACCTTCAACATGTCGCAGTACTTCAGCCCTGCAGCCCAGTTCATCCATGAGGCCCTCAGTTACCCACAGAGTAAGTCCTGGAGGAAATCAAAAGCCTGATCTGGGATCATTCTCTGTAGAATATGTTGCTTTTTGTTTGTAATTCATCTATGTTTGCTTCCTTTTATTCTAGACAAGGTGCTGGTGCACTGCGTGATGGGGCGGAGCAGGTCTGCGACTCTGGTCTTGGCGTACTTGATGTTGAAACATAGTTTAACTGTGGTGGATGCTAGTGAGCATGTGCGGCAGCGCCGTTGTATCTTGCCTAATCATGGCTTCATAAAACAGCTGAGAGCCCTGGACATCACACTACAAGAGGAGAAGCTGAGACAAAAAAGAGAGATTCAAGATGAACAGTACCTAATAAAGAGAAAATATGACTGTTTACTGTAAGTTTTCATCTCAGGTGCACAATGTTCTTTGTCCATCCATCATCTATACCGCTTATCCTAATGAGGGTCACGGTGGGGGTGGAGCCTATCCCACCCTGGACACACAGACAAACAACCACACTCACTCCTAGGAGCATTTAGAGTCACCAATCAGCCTAAGCTGCATGTCTTTGGACTGTGGGAGAAAGTCAGAGCACCTGGAGAGAACCCACGCAGACACAGGGAGGACATGCAAACTCTGCACAGAAAGGCACCGTCTGTCCGGGGCTCGAACCTGGAACACTCTCACTGTGAGGCGACAGCTCTTCTTTGTTTTTGTAACAACCATTAATCTATTTTTCTACAGCTGTATCATGTAAGTTTCAATGATGTTGTAACTGCAAAGTGTGCAAATAATAAAAAAAAAAATTACCTGTTAATTAGAATACACAAAGCAATAAAATCAACATTGTAGGTTTCTTTTGTCAATTTTATGCATCATGGTCTAACACAGACATCAGCAATGCGAGTGCTACTGACTCCAGGAAAAAGACATGAGGCTTTTTGCTGTTTCTGAACGTACAGCTACAGAAGCCACACATTTAACAGAGGAACAACATGCATTATTTCAGTACCAAAAGATAAGTTTGAAATCATCCGATGTGCTATTAGGAAAACTGTATGTACTCCTTGCCCATTATCTATTAACACTGAGTATGCTTATATTGAGGATAGTTTTATTCAAGTATTCGGTGCTGTGCTAACAACATAACACAAAATCAGGTAAACACTGATGGTTTTAAAAGGTCTGGGCCCATATCACAAATATGGCTTGAGCCTGAATTTAGCTCATGTCAAATCTGATGAGAGAAAATTTATATTTAAATATTATTTATCCAAAGCTGGAGGTACTGAAGTTAAATTACATATTTTATGATATGACAAGAGTCAACAACACAGGCCACTAATTCAGGTGAAAAATAAAACATTTAGGAGAGGTCATTTTTAATGCCTACTCCTCTAACAGAAAACATTCAAATACACTGATCTCTTTCCAACCAGACCTGCTACCTTACATGCATTTCACAAATGTGTCCATTTTCACCCTCACAAACCACCAAACATCCACCACTAGTCAAGCTTTTAAGTTCCCCTGCCCTGACAAATGCAGGTTAACACACCACCAGCAAGCCTTTCCCTTCAAACTTAGTGACATTTACAGAGAAAGAAAGGGGAATGGGCACACATCACTAGAAGCCGCTGCACAAAGAACACTGTGAGGAAACAAACTTCCACAATGCTGTTATAGTATGTTGTTGACACACAAGAGCTGACATTTAACAGTGATCACAGCACTTAGGTGGCAGAGGCACCGATATATCTAAAATGTGAACAATTAAAAGAAAAACATCTGGGTTCAGTAATAATACTGCATTCATGTCATTTAAATCCTGATAACAAGCAGCTGAGTGGCAAAAACTGTTCATGACAACCTCCAACTTCTAACTGAGTTGGAGAAATCTGGAATTTCAGACTGCTACATTATCTCCCACTTGGCAGAAATTAACACTGATTTCATTAGTAAACACACAGGAAATATGCAAGTTATTTAGCAACACAGTTATCTACTAGCATTTTGTGTTCACACAAAATAAAAAGAAAAATTCATGTTAAAGGTAGAATAACAAATTAGCATAATAGCAAAAGTAGCCTAACTTAAAAATGTAATTTCATGTGTAAAAGGCTGTGGCCTAGATAATCTGACAGTTGGAGTAAAGGTTACTCATACCATGTCGTCACACAAAATAAAATGACATTATGAATAAAGCTACAGTATGCAACTTAAGGTAGCGCCAACATAAAACTCCAAATCAATCCACTTTGGTCTGCTCTGTCCAGCACTCCCTCTCCCTGCTCCGCTATGATCTGATCAAAACCTCTTAGAAGCTAATGTCTCTGCACTGCTGGGTCACTGAAGGCCCTGACAGCTCCTCTCCACAATAAGACAAGTTTTGGAGCAATTCATACAATGAAAATATTTGAGAAAAGTTACATACTGTAGCTTTAACTGACAAAGCAAAGCCTTTGTCGCAGCAGACTACACTGTGGAAACTGACATGTGGGACTATTGTGTGAACGCTCCCGAGTCATTTCTACAGGAACCGTACCCGTCCTCATTCTGGCAACATGACATGAACGTGGAATAACCTTTAAAAAAAGTTAAAATAAATCATTACTGCACATTTTTAAATGCAGTATCCAAATCCACCCTCAAAGGTGATTATTTTATTCTTTAGTCCATTGTTTGTGTATTATGTATCCTTCCGTTGTGGAATTAGCCTCTTCTGATTTGATCCTGTCTCCAAGAGGAAGAAAAAAAAAACAGCCTTGTGAGATGCCAACACCCGTGCTTGCAGCAAGGTCTGATAGGAATCAGTGCAGCCAGACACTGGTAGTGTCAGAGGCTAAATACATTTAGAAACAATCCCAAAGCAACTGTCTTTGAAAGGACAATTTTGCATTTAGATCCTTTGGGTAAAGTAAATGATCACATCCCTAGATGTTATTGTGATTCCCAGACAGCCATTCATAAATGAACTAATTGCTGTATTGGCTTCTTTGCTGCACGCCCTCTAGTGGCCCCAGGTGGAAGACACAGACAGGCACACTCATCAGGAGGCACCCAACCAACAATCTGTAAGAAAACGTGCACATGGGCCAAAAAATTCTATGGGCTTACCGAAAAATACTGTTCTACAAGAATTAAGGGTAAGAGTATTAGTATTTGTATGAAATGAGTTGTGCATGGTGGACGTATGTGTGCGTGGTTTCAGGCTGAAGAAAAAGTTGACTGGGAGTCCTCATTGGAAAAAGTTGACTGGGAGTCCTCATTTGAAGTCAGGTTTTTCTGGGACGGTGCAACCTGTTCGTCTGATGACGACACTAGCAGCGTAGTGTGCTGCCTTCACACACTGATCCAGTGGTTTCTCCTGGACCAGCTCAGACAGGAAACCTGTAGCACAGAGGGAGGACTTTTAACAAAAGTCCATAGAAAACACACAAAACAACTGAGGAATGTAATAAACTACACAAACAAACAGGAAAACTCACCTCCTACAAAGGCATCACCTGCGCCATTTGTGTCAAGAATGTCCTTGGGGTCGACCGGTACCACAGGGAAAGTCTGAATCTTGTCACCTGAATCCACACGGGAAGAAAACATTATATCTCCACATGATACCACTACAAAAAAAGAAAAAAGAAATTGAAATTCTCACCTATGGCCACAACTGTTGCATCCTTCCCCTGGGTCAACACTACAACCCTCTGTCTCTTTGTGTTGACTTTGGGTAAAGCCTGAGCCTTCTTAGCAATTTCTTTAATGTCCTTGGTCTGCAAACAAAATACACATTAACACAGTTGATAAAGTAAAACGTACATGATGCAGCCCCAAAGAGCAAAATGAAGCCGTTAGTCTACTTACATCAAAGTCTTGCTCTTCAGCAAATGCAGCGGCCTCCTGAGGAAACAACAAGATAATCATCAACATCTGGTGGACACAAAGCACCACAGAGGAATGCGAGTAGCTGAAGAGTGTGGAAGTCTGGCTTACGATCTCATTTCCGAACAGCACATCAACATAGGGCACAACCTGCATGAGGTTGTCCTTGAAAAACTGGCAGATGAAAGGTGCAGAGAGGTTCATACAAAACAGCTTGTTATTTTCTGACGCATGTTTCGCCACTTTCAGCATGGACTCCAAAGAGACTGTGAGGAAGAAACCCTGGAAGGAGGGAAAAACACTGATCAGGACTCGTCTGTTTTTATATTTTATATATAGTCAGATCTTACACCAGTGTACCTCTGTCAATCCTGATAGACACACAGTACAACAGTGAAGTGAATGCAAAACACCCCACGTGGTGGTCTGTTAACTACTACTGCTACTCACAGCAATGTAGCAGACTTTAGCTTTTTCCACCCGGTTCCAGTTCTCTTCCAGGTCTAGATGCTTATCCTTTTTATAACAGTTAGCAGCACCTAGGTTAGCTACCAGAGACCTGAGAGGAGGAAACAAAAGAAGAAATGAAGAGTTATAGGCAGATAAGATTATAATGAGATAACATATGCTTATAATTTTAATTACCCACCTGTTAACTCCAGTGACACAAGCAGCACACATCCCTGTGGGCTCTTCGTCTTGCTCGTAGTAGTGGGCGTCAATGTGGGCCTCCTCAGCCTTCTGCTTCAAGATCTCTCCAAACTTGTCTTTGCCAATGCAGCCAAAGAAAGTGGCCACTTTCCGGGGTTCTTGGATCAACCACTACAGACAGTGACAACAGCTCTGATCAGCATCAATCGATTAACTCGACTCACCGAGGCCAACATTTATAGTAATAATTCACTGATGCACTGATGATGTGATAGAACAGAAGATGTCAGTGAGTCTGTGCGGATGTGACCGACCTGAGCGATCCTCATTGCGTTCTGTGTGGCTCCACCAGCGTGGTACTCAACTTTGAACTTCTTCACTATCTCCTCAAATCTACAAACATGGAGACAAACATGTAATTGGCATGATTCATGTTTCCAAAGTACCTTTCTGTGGAGTGCTGGCTCACTGTTGACAAGTACAAAGCTTCAAACCTCACAACACACCAACTATTATGGCTAGGCACTGAACATAAAACAGAAAACTGACTGATCTGTCTGCTTGACACTGAAGGTCAGATTCCTTAAGGAATAGTTTGTTGTTATTAAACAAACCAGATAGAACATATGAATTAGTGAGCGTTAGAGGAGCTGGTCAGTGGATGTTGTTACACCCTGTGTAGAGTCAAGCCTAAACCGCTTTGCCAGATTTCAATCATTAATCACGTTCACGGAGGTAGTGTATTCTACTGGTTTGCACAGCATGGCACAGTTCCTACTTTTATTGTCCAGCCCTGTTGTTTGCAGGGTGATAGATGTGTCTTAATAGCCGGCAACGTCACCTGTCATCAGACAGTACTCTCTGCAGAAGGCAGCCTCATATTTCTCCCTGGTTAAACATACAATACATGCATGACTCATCACTGATTACACTATCTGAACCATTTACACCCGTTATGTAACACAATGACTGAAGCTGTGCTCTGATGTTGTGCTTACAGCTAAAGCACTCTAATTTGCCATGTTATGCAGTCTAAATAAAGCAGTGGAAGCACCCACACACAAATATGCGTTTGTGTGGTTTATGCGAGTGTTAGAGACAGTGGGCTCAAATATGTCTCTGGAAAAGACAACAGGCCCACTGCTGTGAAAGGTCCTGAGACTGAGCCAGAGGTTGCAGATGGGGAGACATCTGGGAGGCGGAGAAAAAACAAACTGGGGGTGACTGCCTGTTGTCGAAAAGATCTCACTTCTTTCAATTTATCACATATGGCATTTTTACATCATAAGAACCTACCAAAACATGTTGAGCCGTGTACAGCTCGGGAGCTAAATTTTGGCACTCCTCAGTACAAGAATCAAGTTCCAGGAACGCAAGGGGGAGGCGGCGTGTGTGCACCAAGCTGTCACTCTGATTGGTTAATTGTCAGCATCTTCACACCTCAAATACTGTCATTACAAGCAAGGTGTGTAAACACAAACACACTGGTTTAGAGGTAAAATGATCAAGGATGTCACTTGTTGATATGCAGTGGTGTGAAAAAGTGTTTGCCCCCTTACTGATTTCTTATCTTTCTGCATGTTTGTCACACTGTAATGTTTCAGATCATCAAACAAATTTATATATTAGTCAAAGATAACACAAGTAAACACATCATGCAGTTTTTAAATGAAGGTTTTTATTATTAAGGGAAAACAAAACCCAAAACTATATAGCCCTGTGTGAATAAGTGTTTGCCCCCTAAACCTAATAACTGGTTGGGCCACCCTTAGCAGCAACAACTGCAATCAAGCGTTTTCGATAACTTGCCATGAGTCTTCCACAGCGCTGTGGAGGAATTTTGGCCCACTCATCTTTGCAGAATTGTTGTAAGTCAGCCACATTGGAAGGTTTTCGGGCATGAACTGCCTTTTTAAGGTCATGCCACAGCATCTCAATTGGATTCAGGTCAGGACTTTGACTAGGCCACTCCAAAGTCTTCATGTTGTTTTTCTTCAGCCATTCAGAAGTAGACTTGCTGGTGTGCTTTGGATCATTGTCCTGCTGCAGAACCCAAGTTCGCTTCAGCTTGAGGTCACAAACGAATGGCCGGACATTCTCCTTCAGGATATGTTGGTACACAGCAGAATTCATGGTTCCACTTATCACAGCATGTCTTCCAGGGCCTGAAGCAGCAAAACAGCCCCAGACCAGCCCATTACCACCACCATATTTTACTGTTGGTATGATGTTCTTTTTCTGAAATGCGGTGTTACATATACGCCACACATAATGGGACACACACCTTCCAAAAAGTTCAACTTTTGTCTCGTCTGTCCACAGAGTATTATCCCAAAAGTCTTGGGGATCATCAAGATGTTTTCTGGCAAAACTGAGACGAGCCTTTATGTTCTTTTTGCTCAGCAGTGGTTTTCGTCTTGGAACTCTGCCATGCAAACCATTTTTGCCCAGTCTCTTTCTTATGGTGGAGTCATGAACACTCACCTTAACTGAGGCAAGTGAGGCCTGCAGTTCTTTGGATGTTGTTGTGGGGTCTTTTGTGACCTCTTGGATGAGTTGTCGCTGCGCTCTTGGGGTAATCTTGGTCGGCCGGCCACTCCTGGGAAGGTTCTCCACTGTTCCATGTTTTCGCCATTTGTGGATAATGGCTCTCACTGTGGTTCGCTGCAGTCCCAAAGCTTTAGAAATGGCTTTATAACCTTTTCCAAACTGATAGAGCTCAATTATTCTCTTTCTCATTTGGTTTTGAATTTCTTTGGATCTCGGCATGATGTCTAGCTTTTGAGGATCTTTTGGTCTACTTCACTTTGTCAGGCAGGTCCTATTTAAGTGATTTCTTGATTGCGAACAGGTGTGGCAGTAATCAGGCCTGGGTGTGGCTAGAGAAATTGAACTCAGGTGCGATAAACCAGTGTTTTGACAGGGGGGCAAACACTTGTTCACACAGGGCTATATAGTTTTGGATTTTGTTTTCCCTTAATAATAAAAACCTTCATTTAAAAACTGCATGATGTGTTTACTTATGTCATCTTTGACTAATATTTAAATTTGTTTGATCTGAAACAGTGTGACAAACATGCAAAAAGATAAGAAATCAGTAAGGGGGCAAACACTTTTTCACACCACTGTAGATGAGAGGTTTTCAACCAGTGGTCAGCAGCCCCCTGCTGGTCTGTGACCATGTGTTCAATAATATAATTTCAGTGAGTGGACCACTAGCAAAGCAGAAAAGATGTCACATTTCTGCCAGTCTGTGTTCAGGTGGTGTTGGACTACATCATATTCAGAGGTGTGTGTACTTTTTCATCCTCCATAGCTACATACATGAGAGGGTCAGAATGTTAGGAACATCTCTAAAAATAACGTAGTCCAGTACAACACCACCCTTAAGTATGACCTCAATAATAAACATTTATGATAATTTCACTAAAAACTGAAACACTCAGCTTCATAAACACAGAAGTTAAGGTGGAAGTGTTGCACTGAATGACATGTTGTACAAATGTAGCTAATAAAGTGGCTGGTGAGTGTAGGTCATAAAAGTAACTGCGGGGAGTCAAAACACACCAGTATAAACCTCTCTGTCACACACTACTTTCTTATCTCCTGCTGTTAAATGTTTGTTTTTTGCCTCTTTTCTCAGAGGGACTGGGAGGTGAAGTGTCCTGATTTCCTATTGGCTGAGACCATCTCACTCTGTATCTGCTGCCTTGCCATTGGGTGTCTGTAAACAAACAGAGGTCATCTGTGGTGATTTCTGCTGTGTGCCTGTTTTGACTGGCCCGCTCCAGAACAGTGGGGAACAAACTCGGGATGAATTCAGAAATATTACAAATACTTTTCTTCCTGTAACGACCACAATCCGAGTTAAGCGGCTGTGTTAAGAGCTCTGTCAAAACCTACAGTAAATGTTGCAAAACAGGGGATACCCACATCGTTTTGTGTTTGTCCTCTGCCAGGATTTGGTCATTGGGTTTCAGAGTGTACCTGCAAATAATTAAAGGAGAACAAAAAAGGCATTAGTTTCTCCAAGTCACTGGAAATGTGCTAAATCAAACCCTGCTGTTTTTACCCATTTAAAAAAAAAAAAAAAAAGTAATTGATTTATTCCATGAGCAAATTCCACAAACTGAACCTCACTCAAACACGCTGAGAACCAGGATTACATCTGTGTGCATAAGCACCACAGACACTATGGTACTGCTGCCAAATGAGTTGGTTACTCCTGTAGAAAATGTGCTTCATACCATTATTCAGATATTAAATCTCGGGGCAACACCTTGAGAAACTGGGAAACTGCCTTTTTATTTACCTACAGCTGCTGCTCAGTCCAAATCAATAATGCTAAACAGAGTGCACAATTTCCTCAAAAGACAGAGGTAGGTTGGGGTTTCAGGTGCAGGAGACTGAATTATTGCTGTGGTTGACTGGTTCAGCTCTAAGCTGGGAGTTTATGTAAGAGGTCTGAGAGTGGACTCTGAACCCTTTGCCCTGGTCAATTCATGGTGACAGAGCAAAGTCAGACCCTGAATGTTTACACTGATGGCGCAAACTATTTCAAACAAAGTATGGGGTTAAATAAATATATAAGGATTACAGCTGTATAGACAGGGGTGCTGTCCCATCCAACAGTATGGTAATACTGTGTCCAAACAGTTTCAGGCCGGTGTTGATTCAACTGTATGGTCAGTCTCTGGGCTGTAGTGTGTGTTGATGTTGAACTGTACTGCATTACACAGAGAAGCGTTTCTCTAATCTACCCTCACTGATATAAAATGGGCCAGACAAAATAAGAGCAACACCTGTCGGTAAGATGCAATCCAGTTCAACAGCACCATAAACTACATCTTCCAAAATGACCATCCAGTTGAATCAACACCTGTCTAAAACAGCTACAACAAAAATTGAACATTATCACCTCCATGAAGGGAGGACTGTCGCATTAGTCCGATCTAGATTTAGCTTGGTGTACCCAATAAACTGGCAGCTGAGTGTGTCTGCTGG